ATAAAAATGATAATCTATACTTTGGGACCTAAAGAACTTAAGACACGCTAGGATGGGTAAAAATATGTAACTAAAATGATAAAAAAAGAAATAACAAGGGTTCTTAAAGATGTGAACTGACTGGAATCCTCAAGTACTGCCTGTGGGAATGTAAAATGGTGCAGCCACTTCAGAAAACATAGTGGAAGTTTCTCGGAATGCCAAACATAGAGCTACCCTATGATCCTGCATTTCCACTCTGATGAATATACTCAAGAGACATGAAAGCACATATCCACAGATGCTCACAGGAGCTTTATTCAAGATAGCACAAAGTAGAAATAACACATATCAACTGACGAGTGGAAAAATAAAATATGGAATTGCTACACAAGGGAATATTATTTAGAAATAAAGTGGAATGTAGAACAAATGAAGTACATGAAGTTTATCCATGTGGATAAACCTTGAAAACAATATGTCAAATGAAAGAAAGCATCCCAAAAGTCACACATTATACGATTCTATGTTTATGAAATGCCCAAGGACAGGCAGATCCACTAATCTGTGATTACCAGGAGCTTGGGCAGAAGAAGGGAATAGTAGGATGAGTAGTGACCACTAAGGAGTGCATCGTTTTGTTTTTGGGGTGATGAAAATGTTCTAAGCTTAGTGGTAATGGTTGTACAGCTGTGGAATATAATCAATAGTTAAATTTTATGATGTGTAAATTCTACCTCAAAAAAACTATTATAAAAATCAAACTAACAAAGCACATAAGGGCAGCTACACACTTGCAGAGTGAACTGGCTGCACTCTGCCAGGGAATGCCAGGAGTGCCCAGGTACCTCCAGACAAGACAGGCAGTGTGAGCTTAGGCACAGATGACAAAGCATACTGGGGTCACGGGTGGTCTCCACTCTCCATTCCACACATCTGCTCTCCCCTTCTAAAGGGAGTTATTTAGCATAAAAATAGAACATTACAAGTAAGAAAAAAAGAATTTAAAATATTAAGAAAAATTAGAACATAAGGGTAGAACATAATAAAATTAGAACATAAGAGTAATTAGAACATAAAAATAAGAACATAAGTGGTTTCCACTTTCCATTCCACAACATCTGCTCTCTCTTTCTAAAGGGACTTATTTAGCATAAATAAAAATTAGAACATATGAGTAAGGAATAGAAAGGTTATAAGCTCTCAAGATGAAAACCTCTATTTGAAAGGTGGGTGTCAAACCCTGGTCCCATAAGATAGCAGCCTGGGACCAGTAATTTGGCCTCTCTGGGCTTTAGTTTCTTTCTTCATAAAGTGGGTATAACCACAGGACTTTCTCTCACATGATTGTGCTGAGAGGACATGCAGGGTGCTCAGAACAGTGTCTGACATGCACAAAGAGCCATCATCCTGATTATTGTCTGACTGTTGTGGTCTCTTTAGGATAGTCTGACTCCTTGCAGTCAAAGGTGAGCAGCACCATCACAGAGGGTCATGTTCAGGTTCCTCAGGGAACTCCAGTCAAACCCCTGTCCTCTTCACCCCGGAGCTTGGGCTTATCCTCTATACTTCCATGAGGCCCCTTTAATAACACAATTGTACACACAGCCTGGCGAGCAGCACGGGATATTCACAGGCACACTGAATTCACACTGAACACAACAGCTACCACCAAAGCACCTGTAGAATCAGGAACATTCCCAGGAATCTTACATATGACACTTCACTGAATTTTCACAACATGCCTATGAGTTGGATATTATTAATCCATCAAACTACAGACAAGAAAAGTTGAAGTACATTGAGTAACTCCATCAAGTTAATCTCACAGTTAAGTAAAAGTCAAAGCTAGGAGTTCAATCCAGATCTGTCCAATCCAGGGGCACTTCCCAGTCCATTTTGTTGAACTGGATTTCCAAAAGAAGAGTAATTAAGATAGGAATTAAGAAAAAGGGAAAGTGGTTTATTACCAACACACAGTTTATCTATGTTCGAATAATTGTCCAAATGCCAAAGTACATTTGATTCATCCACTTCTTTGCTCACACATCCTTTCATTCATTATCCAAATATTAAACAGTCTTTGATGGATATTGATCTTAGAAAATTACAGAATGATTCCCAAGTGTTTTTTTTTTTTTTTGAGGCTATTGTGAATGGCATAGTTTTCCTAATTTTTCTTGCAGGGGATTCATCACTGATGTAGAGAAATGCATTTTTATGGGTACTAATTTTATATCCTGTTACTTTGCTGAATTCATTTACTAACTAGCTCTAAAAGTTTTCAGATGGAGTTTTTTGGATCTTCTAAATAGAAATCATGTCGTCAACAAAGAGTGATAGTTTGGATTTCTTTTCCTATCTGTATTCCTTTAATTTCTTCTTCTGTCTGATTGCTCTGGCTAGATTTTCAAAGACTATGTTGAAAATAAGTAGTGAAAGAGGGCATCTCTGTCTTCTTCCAGTTTTTAGGGGGAATGCTTTCAATTTTTCTCCATAAGTAGATGCTAATCCATAATGGAGTGGGGAGAGAATGAAGGAACTCTAGATAGTGCAGAGGGGAGTAAGGGAGGGGAAAGAGGAGACGTGGAGATGGGAAGGACGGTGGAATGAGACGGACATTTTAACCCTATATTTATGTATGATTACACTACCAGTGTGACTTTGCACCATGTTCAGCCAGAGGAAGGAGAAGTTGTGCACCATTTGTATATAATGTTTCAAAATGCATTCTACTGTCATTTATAGCTAATTAGAACAAATTCTTTAAAAAAAAAGAGAAACAGTAAAAAAAAAAAAGGAAGAAAAGAAAATTACAGAATGATGTGTTCAACACATTAACTGAGGAATAGAGCATTATGCTGGGCAAAAAGGACATCAGAAAGCTCCAAATGCTTTCTCAACTATCAAAGAAAGCCTCATTTACTACACCTCAACCTCCTTACATAAGAATTCACCTTCGAAGCCCTATTTCCCTAGGAACTAATAATTGGAATTTTAAGCTATCACCTGACTCTCCTTTAAGTTCCCAAGATGCCCAACCCTTAGGCAGCCTTCTCCCTTCTAGCTCATGAAGCAAGACAAGTGTTTTCCCAACCTTGGGACTGCGCAACAGAGGGTGAGGGGGATGGTCAGCAGAGGGTCTGTGGCAGGATCTGCAGAAATGGGCTGCAGGAGCAGGACTGTGTGTGCCAGGCCTCAAGCAGACCACAAACCCAAGATATTGATGGCCACTGCAAGGCTGATCTAAGTCTGGCAGACTGCATGCTAAGTAGAAAAAAATTTTGTAAGACACCATTTCACAGGGTAGAGAGCGCCACTTGCAAAACTGTGTCTTAATTTAGCCCTAAAATCCTACAGGAATTTCTGATTTTCCCACACCGCAGAGATAACTATTAAGGTTCTGGTTCTTTCAGAAGTGCCAGATACCTTTCAACTCTTTTTCTTCCAATAAAGAACAATGCAGTTACCATGAAGAAAAAGAATAAGAAAAAGTACATGAACTATTTCTTTGGAAGGATCAGCTAAATGCTTAAGAGATTTTAAAAGAGCAAAGCTGAGATGGTATATAAGGATGATAAGAAATTCACTTTTGGAGATAAGGTTTCTTCAAATGGTATTTTAAGGTAACATATTAATCCAATTTGTTCACATACTAAACTGATGACAAATTATCCATTGGATTCTACAGCGTGTAGCTTATGAATAATAAGAAAATTTTCTGTCAATTACACATCAAGGTAAAATTTAATGTGCTGTTAAAATTGAGCTTTACCTAGAAAGGCAATAATGTTTAAATGAAAGCTAATGACAAAATGTGATTGAATTTACAAGGCAATTATCATATCCAAAGTTATTTCCAAGTATTTACCATAAAAGTAAACAATAAAAAACACAAATTATTAATATCATAAGCAATATGCTTAACATTAAATTTAAAATATTAATAATAAGGTAGTATGGAAGGAAATATATCTATAATTCCTGAATATAATTATTATTTCACTTGTTAGAAGAATAAAGGACATTGCCCATTTGTGCTATTGATAGGCATGTACCTCTAAACCTTGGCCAAAATGTGTGTACTGATAATATAGTATAAAATGAATTAATATTGTTTTCAAATTAGGATATAATAAATAAAATTTCTTTTATATCAAAATGTACATCAAACAAATACATATTTTAATATAATACATATTAAAATTAGTTGACTTCAATCTTTTTGCTATTATGAAAATAAACTGTGTACAGGTAGAAAATTGTTTTTGAACTGTCATATGCTGTTCATATGATTTAATTCATAAAGATTTAATGAATTCTACAGATGCTTTCAGTTCTCTGTATAAAAAAGATGAAAAGCTTTCATTTTATGAAAATTTCATTTTGAAAATGTGTATATTTAAAATGTCATCAATATGAACAGTATAGAAATCTATTAATCAAATCTTTAATTCAAAAATATAACTTCTTTTAGCTAGGGTGATTAAAGTGTTTTTAAATTGTATTTAATTTCACAAAGAAAAGCAGAAAAGAAAGATAATTATTTCAAGGTGTTTCATAACAATTTCAAGAAAAATCAAGTAATGCCAACAAAATGATTTAAAAAAAAAAGAAGAACACTTGACAGTGAAAATCTAAACAGCAAATCCAAACAGAAATGTACTAGAATTCGTTTCCATGTCAGTGAAGTCTTATCTATAGATTTCCCACTTCACATACATACAGATAAGCTAGACATTTTTCCACTCAAAGACATGTGAATGGATAGGAAGCTATACACAGGTTTATTTTCCTCCTGCACTAAAATATCAAAGCCTCTGCAGGTATCCTCCTGCAGGTTACACTGCCTCCTGTGTTAGTCCTAGTCACATCCTGGCCACAGTCCATCTTCCAGATCAGATCCAGAAGGTTTTTCTCCCCAGAAAACTATCATGCAGGAGAATTAAAAACTGAGGAAGGGGAAAACAGAAAGCACATGAAAAAAGGACCAAAATAACATAATAATTTAAAATGTGCACCTTTACTCTTTGGTCATCAACTTCTATAATTGTTGCAACACGAATTAACCGGGGGTTTCGTTTATCCACAACTTCAAGTTTCATATTTGGCAAAAAACCATGAGGCAACCTCTGAAAAAAATACAAGTGTAACAAGTTGTGGAAAATTCAGCAATTCAGATTTTCTATTAATTTTCTATTAATTTTGAATACAATACTTCAGTTTTAACAAGCATAAATTTTTAATACAACTGGCATTTAGTTTATAGAACACATAGGATTTTATGCATATTTTTTAACCAGAGTCACAAAGCCTGTGAGAGAATTTGGGGCCACTTTAAAGATAGGTAAAAGACAAAGATAGAATAAATTATAAATTCATCAATTTTCACAACGAAGTTCAAAACGATTTTTTTTAAATTAGTGCATTATAATTACACATAATATTGGGGTTCATTCTGACTTAATTATGCAAACATGGAATATAATTCTCACCAATTTAGTTCCCAGTACTCTCCTAACCCTCTCCTCCTCACATTCCCTGTTCCCTTTCCTCTATTCTACTGGTCTTCCTTCTATTTATTTGTAATATTTTTTGAATTAGTGCTTTATAGATATACATGAGGTGAAATTGACTGTGGTATTTTCACATATGTACATAGGATCATTTGGTCAATTTCATTGCACTGTTTCTCCCATTTCCTATCCCTCTCCTCCCTTTCCTCAAGCCCCTTCTAGATACTCTACTGATCTCTCCTCAGTTTTCATGTAATTCACAACTCTCCACCACCAGGTTTTTTTTCCCCTCTTATTTTGGTCTAACATCTGCATAGGAAAGAAAAATTTGACTCTTGACCCTCTGAGTCTGGCTTATTTCACTTAGCATAATGTTCTCCTGGTCCATACATTTACCAACAAATGCCATAATTTCATTCTTCTTAATGACTGAGTAAAACTCCATATGTATATATACCACACTTATTTTTTCATCTAGTGACAGGCACCTGAGCTGGTTCCATAACTTGGCTATTGTAAACTGTGCTGCTATAACCACTGATGTACCTGTATCACTATAGTGACTTTAATTCCTTTGGATAAAACTGAGGTGTGGGATAGCAGGGTCATATAGTGGTTCCATTCTTAGACTTTGGAGGAATCTCCATATTGCTTTCCAAAGTAGTTATGCTAATTGCAGTTCCACCAAAAATGGATGAGTGTACCTTTTTCCGCACATCCTCACTACCATTTATTATTTGTATTTTTGATAAATGATGCAATTCTGACTGGACTGGTACGAAATCTCAATATAGTTTTGATCTGCATTTCCCTAATTGCTAAGGATGTTGAACATTTCTTTCACATAATTTGTGGTCATTTGTATTTCTTCTTTCTGAATTGTCTGTTGAGTTATTTTTTCCCATTATTGGGGATCTTTTTTAAAATTTTTTAAATTGATTTTTTAAAAATAAATGACAGTATAATGCATTACAATTCTTATTACACAACACAATTTTTCTTATCTCTGGTTGTATATAAAGTATATTCACACCAACTCATGTCTTCATATATGTACTTTGGATAATAATGATCATCACATTCCACCATAATTTCTAACCCCATGCCCCCTCCCTTTCCCTCCTACCCCTCTGCCCTATCTAAAGTTCGTCTAATCCTCCCATGCTCCCCCTCCCTATCCCACTATGAATCAGCCTCCTTATATCAGAGAAAACATTTGGCATTTGTTTTTGGGGGGGATTGGCTCACTTCATTTAGCATTATCTTCTTATTACAGCTTACATATCAGCTTATTTTCATCTTTTTTTCTGAAATTAGCCTTACACATAGATATTGCTGACTATTCTCCCTACCAAGTTTGGTACTATATGGCTAGAAGGTAAAATTATTTAATAAGCAATACAAAAAAACCATGATTCTTCATAAATCTAAATTTTAAAATATGCTTAGTTAAAAGCTACATAATTTCAACTGTTAAATCTTTTAAATATACCATGATATAATTTTAAGCCATATCTATGCTTTTTGTCACTTTATCTCATAACACTACAGAGTTGAACTTAGTTGAAGTTTCTTTCAAGTCTTTAAAATGCTAGAAACCAAGAGTTGATGGTGACAGACACACAGGCAATAAAGAAAACAAAAGGGGAAAGGTACTGGGACATGCCAAATCATTCAAACTAAGGAATTTCAACAGTCAAAATCAGAGTCACACTGGGCACAGTGACACATGCTTGTAATCTCAGCAGCTCTGGAAGGTGAGGCAAGAGGATTGCAAGTTCACGGCCAGACCCCGCAACTTTGTAAGGCTGTAAGCAATTTAGTGAAACCCTGTCTCACAATTAAAAAAAAATTAAAAGGGCTCAGTATGTGCTTCAGTGGTCAAGCACACCTAGGTTAAATCCCCTCCCCGTCCCTGCAACAGAAATCAAAGTCACAAAACAAATCTGACAGTTTTGAGACATTAGTAGAAAGTTTTTCTTTGAATGCTATTACACATAAAAGTGTTCAATTGATTTTATTGGAAATGAAAGTGTACTGAACTCCTCAAATCTAGAATTAGCAATAAGAAAAAAAACTTCTACTGATACATGATTAATAAATAGTTAAATTTTTCTCCAGTATCTGGTATGTTTTCAGCTTTTTCAGAAGCATATTTTCTTCCTAGAATGCATTATTACATCTATTAAATGGAATATACTGAGTATTATCAGGTCTCTGAAATTTGTTCTTGCCAAGGTCACTGTTCTGAATAACAAAGGTAATTGTTTAGTATTACAGATGCCAAAGAGACATTCTTGAGCAGAATCCACAATAACCTTGTGAAAGACAGAGTCTGAAATTCGTCTTTTTAGTGAAATTTTTCCTTGTTTTCTTATAGTTCTCCTGTTCAAGAAGTAAAACAAAGATTTGAAAAAAGACAAGACAGAAACTACCAGTACTTGCTCTTTGAAATTCTGCAATTCATAAAACCTCTGTAGGACTTTAGCTATGGTTTCCCTAATCTTATTATACTTCACCATCAAATCTAGACTATTATGACCAATTTTTTTAGATGAAAAAGGATTTTTGTTTTAACCCCTTTTAATACCTAGAAAACTCTAGGAAATGAAATCACATGAATAAACCCTATACATAAAATTCTGATTTAAGACAAGTTGAGGAGCCTGAAGCCCACAATTAGAATCAGAAAGGAACAATTTGAAAATCACTGATTTGGAACATAAATATTTCTGATTATACTATTTCTGTCTATGTGTTTTCTTTTAAAAAATTTATCTATACTTAGTTCAACCCTTGAAAAGTACATTAAAATAAGTTTTAACTGTAAAAATCAGTATTCTAAAAAAATGCTTAAAGGAATGTTCCTCTCAAAAGTGGATAAAACTATGCACAAAGATGATGGTTCACCTACTTGATTATGGCCATTGCCATTCAAACAGTCCCTGAGAAAGGGACACACAAGCTTATGGCACTGGGAGCTTCCACACCTCCACCCCTGCTGAGGTGCTGTCAGCAGTGCCACTGATGTGCTGCACTATGCTTTTTCCAAAAAGAAAATCATCACCTGCATTTGTATATAGGAATGATAGCAAATG